CCAGTGATCAGTTGCTCTCTCCTCCTTTTCCAGCCAGCAGAATTCTTGGTTTGTTGTTTTGTTTCTTGGTTTGTCTTTGTTTTGATACAATCTTTGGATATAATTTTAAATTCAAGTTCAATTCAATTTTATTTGTAATACCGCGCCAATTCATAACAGAAAGTTATCTCAGGACACTCTTTTCAAATAGGAGCAGGTCTAGACCCGAACTCCCTTATAACATTTACAGAGACGCCAACCAGCTACCACCATGGGGCAAGCACTTGGCGAGCCGGGGCAAGAAAAAACTGCCTTTAACGGGCAGAACCTCCGGACAGACCCTTCGGCTCCTAGGTGGGTGGTCATACCTGCGCTTGAACCAGTTGGGGGAGATAAGAGAGAGAGGAGAGAGAGAACAGAGAGAGAACAGAGAGACAGAGGAAAAGATGTAAGCGAGCCCCAACAACAGAAGCAAAAAACGTACATTAACAGTAATGACTCGATGACGATCATGAAAAGAACGGTGAGCGACGGCGACAGCAGGGCAACGACAGGGGATCAGCGAGCAGCGGAAAACAGCAAACCGCAGCACCGCAGCAACAACGAATAGTCAACACACTAATAAACTAGATAAAAGGATCCAATCATGCCCGCAGCTGATTTCGAGGCAGTGGCAGTCTAGCGCAGGACCGATGGCAGGAGGCTCCAACCCAGGATCCATGAGAACCTTGAGGACGATAAAAACGCACAGAACTCCGGGGAGAAGTTGGAATACGTAAATGCATGTAATGGGAACATGAACTGAGTGGCAGAAAGAGAGAGATGAGGAAAGAGAGGAGCTCAGTGCACCATGGAATCCTCGATAGTTCTAAGGCTATAGCACATAACCAAAAAAAAAAAAGAAAAAAAAATAAAAAAAAAAAAAAAAAAAAAAAAAAAAAAAAAAAAAAAAAAAAAAAAAAAGAGAGAAAAAGAGATGGTTTCAGACGACTACCTGATCCGCAGCCTTAACTATAAGCTATATCAATAGAGAAAGTGTCTTAAGCCTACTCCTTAAGAATGTGGGAGACGCGCGCCAATGCCTCACGGCACTGACTCGGAAGCCTGGTTCGGCCTCAGGGATGAAAAGTTCTTTTATGCACTGAAATACTTTGCTCTATGCGGCTTGTATAAGCACTTAAAACCCTAATTCTGCTACAGTGCAGGTGAGGTTGAAAAACCCTTAGAGGGTTGTAGAAGGAATCACACCTATTGTTAAATATGATCAGTTCTGATAGTTTAGACTGGACTTTAGCCTATATTTGAAATTATTGAGTGACGTAGGCTGAAATCTTACCTATTCCATTGCTGAGCCCACTATTTCAAATCTACTCTAATCACTTTTATCGGCCCAATTCTTTGTTTACATTACTTTGGTGAATACACCAATTAGCTATTCACCCAAGGTCATATTGAATCCACATAATCTACATCTTTTGGGCAAACTGAATGAACCATCATACAGCTTATGTCCTATAAAGATTCCATGCTATAGAAATGATACTAAACTAAACTGGAAGTCTTTGTTTTTTTTTTTTAATTAATCCTTTTTGTAATTTTGCATTGTAATGTCCCTTTTATCTTTATTATATCTATTTTACTTGTATGGCTTTTGTACTTGCTTCAAATAAATGTTAATTGCACAAAGACAATTTAAGCCCCAGTTGAAGCTCGATATTTTCTTTTAAAACTCTTTAAGTCCATAAGGATATGACATAAATTGTTGCTATGTTTTCCTAAAACATGGAAAAATACTCACTCTCTTCAGCATAGACAAGGCCCCAATACTGACATTGTTAAGCTGATCCAGTATCGGACAGATGTGACAATTCATATTAAAAAAATATTTTTAGCCACTATCGTTATAAAATTCTGAGCAAAAACTTTAAAAACTCACTGCAGGTTTCAGGACTGGCATCTATAGAGGGGACAGGGGGAGCATCAGTGGCAGTGCTTACTATGTTAAAAAGCACCTTAGGACTAGACATATTAAATTCAATGAGAATTGAGAAATAGGTGTGTATATAGTTTTTGACTTTCGCATCAGGGCTTAAAAATCCTCATGGTGGCCAGGGAGTTTAGAGGCCTTCCACTGACGCTCTGCTTTAAGATATTTTCGCTTTAAAGCCCAAATGTTTTCATTTATCCACGCCTGGGACAGTTGCTTAGTTTTCCAGGTCTTGAAAGGAGCAGTATCATCAAGGATTGAGTTGTAGATTACATTAAAAGTTGTTAAAGCTCTAGGGGCTCTAACTCTGGACAGCGGATGGTGTTAAAAGCTTTAGTAAAATTGCTAGCAGAAGCAGAATTAAAAAGAGGTACAAAACATAAATATATATATATATAGTGGTAACACTTAAAGGTGCTATATGTAGGGTCTACATATATTAATATTACTAATATAATAATAGTTACTATTTAACTGTTATTTCATCAATCTTGAATCAGAACAGAAATTAGCAGAGGATGGTTTACATAATTAATAATTCAGTTAACTGTCAGCATCAGTGAGTTTGTTCACCATACAAGAATAGAAATAATTGGCTAATTAGCATTGCCACTCTGTCTGCAATCTAAATCCACATGGAGAAAAACAAACAAACCTACATAGTGCTACCATCAGTGCACTATCCCCAAATGACATGTCTGTGTAAGCTGCTGCTGGTTGCTGAGTACCGATGAAATACACTTACAACAATCCAAAAGTTAACTGATAAATTCATAGTCATAGGGTCTTACTTTAATTATTTACTTTAGTTGGGTGACTTTTTATTCACCAACTTTATTGGTGGTATCTGGGGATGTTGCAAACATCAGCAGGGCAGGAAACCCATTTTCAGACGAACAAAAAGTTGTAAGCAAAGTGTTATATCATAAATGCTTGGAGGGGAAAACAGAAAATGTTAAAATGATTACCCAATCTGGGGTGTCATGGTGTCCAAGTGGAGCATGTCTTAGGATTCCATCCCTTTCTCTGAACGTCAAAGTGACAGTAATCAATATTTTCATAATAACGTATCAAATGACAATGTGAAACCAATGTGAAAATGGTCACTCAGGGTGATTAACCTACAGAGAATTATTACCAGAATCTGCAATTCTTCTTCGCCTTAGTGAGCTTTATAGTGAGTTTCAGGTCATTGTTTTGTTTGCCATCGTGGTTCACTCACACCGCTGTCATCAGCATTGTTTTCGGACGCAGCAGGCAGCTGTTTTCAGGAAAAAAGCCAAAAAAACACACTGTAGACTACTAGCCCTTTTCCATACACATGTGCTTGCTTGGCTTGACTCAGTTTGACTAGCACCAGCAAAGTGCCACAATGATTGCGGGAGAGATTGAATGAAGAGAGGGACCGCTGTTAGCAAGAACGAAACAGTGAATCAAATAAATAAATGGTGGTTACGATCTAAAGCACAAATAAACAGGCCCACCTTCCTCCCTGCCATATGTAGACTTGTTTTTATTGATTATTGGCCACTAACTAAGCTCCAGTTATTTGGTGATAAACACATTTCATTCTCTATAAAATCTTCACAACAATAGTCGCCGGTCATTTTGTTATTTAAATGCTTTTATTATAAAGCAGCAAAATCAAGGAAATGCTGGATCTTCATCAGCAGCAAACAGGGATGCAGGAGAGAGACTAAAATTCAAAGAGATTCAGTTACAAGTTTCAAAAGTAATGAGAGTTTAACTTTTAAAAATGTCTTTTTGGCAGACACGAGTTGAGGCAGACA